CTTTTTTGGACCAATCGGGGCACTTAGACCGGCGTTGGAAAGGTGGCGAGGAGGAGCTTCTCTCAGATCACCCCCTGGGCGTCCTTCGTAAGATATGGGTATAGATTTGAAAATTTATCGAAATTTTCCAAACGCTATATTTTTGCCTAGACCACACTTTAGACATGGGGGATATGGTGTTTCCGATTATTTGGGCCAAGACCTTTCCAACGGTACCTAACATGCCGGGCCCAAATAGTGTCCTGAGAAAATAGCATATTTACTGTATATATACTCGTGACGCAAAAACTGGCATTTTTTGATATTTGGCTTGAAATGCACAGTCTATGGTGCGTCACTTGTCGGACTACCGTCCTCCGTGATACATGCTCCGCTTTTGCCACCCGGAATTTTCACTTTTTGTTTTTGTTTCTGTTTTAATCCGATCGTGACGACAACCAAATGCAAACTGATATGCATTTGCTTGCGACGTCGATCTACTCATATATTACGGAGCGTAAGCATTGCTCGGAACGTATCTCAAAGTGCTTGTTGGTTTATGGTAAACACCGATTCCAATTTCTCCGTTGGCATTTCTTTTTAAATTTAAATCCAACAAGTTGATGTTTCCTTCGGCCTCGATTTCGTGTGTGAAATTGATTTCTTCGTGAAATTGATTTTGGTTAACTCAACCTTTGGTGTTTTTTATTTACTCGTTTTTTGTCCAAAAAACTGCTTATAATTTTTGAGAGTTAACGTAATTTATTCCAAAACAAAATTAAATCATTGCAATTATGATTGTGAAAAAATGAGAGAATACTGAATTTTTTTGAAAAACAAGAGCGAAATTCGGATCTATTCCTTTGAAAAGTCCGAGCGAAATCCGGGCAAATTTGGCAATATCCGGGCATCCGGGCCGGGCGATTTTTTGGCCGGGTTTCGCCATGAAAATCCGGGCAAACCCGGATTTATCCGGGCGATCTGGGATGCTTAATCATACATCGACCAAAAAATATCTCCAATTCCAATTGCGTTCATCGGTTCGCCGTTGCCAGCCGTTACCTCCTGTTGCACACGAAGCAGGCGATAATTCGTGAACCAACCATCTGTTGCTACACATGTGATACGTGGCACAGGAATCCAGAAACCAATCGTCTCCTCCACTCTCAATCACACTCAAGGAGAATCATCGCCTCATGATTTCCTTTTTTCTTTTTCAAATTCGGGCAATCTCTTCGGAAATGTCCCTCAGTACTGTTGAATATCAAGTAGTCTTATGTTCTAATCAACATATCCTTGTTTTAAATGTAATGCTTAAAAATAAATAAATCAGTTAGTTTAGTTGTCATCGTACTTTACTACAGACGTCTTTTCTAATACACAACATATTTGGCGACATAGCTTATTCTTTTAAATAAAAAAGAACCTCCGCACAATTTTCAACTTTAAAATGAGTGAATTCAACAAAGAATTTCTGAATTTCTTCAAAGAATTCATCCAAAAACAAGAACTTCGAGATAACCACACTCAAAGTACTATCGTTGAAATCCTCGGAATGCTCAAAAATCCATCTAGTCACAGTTCAACAGAAAATCTCGTCGGAGCCGGCCGTAAAACAACCGATCCAGAATTTCTAATCGAAGCATTGTCTACATCGCTAACCGAATTCATCTACGATCCAGAAACGGACTGTATATTCGAAAACTGGTACCGCCGCTTTCAAGACTTTTTTGACCGAGACGCTGCCAACCTTGACGATGCAGCTAAAGTCCGTTTATTGCTTCGAAAATTAGAAACAGCCGCTCATAAAAGGTACATCAACTTCATTCTTCCCAAAGTTTCATCCGAGTTTTCATTTGCTGAAACTGTCGAAAAACTCACAAAAATTTTCGGAAAGCATGAATCGCTATTCAAAACGCGCTATAAATGCTTTAAAATCAGCAAAACTGATGAAACAAACTACTTGGATTACATGGGGAACGTGAATAAAGCTTGCGAGGACTTTGAACTACAAAAAATGTCCATCGACCAATTCAAGTGCCTCATTTTCGTCGCTGGTTTATCATCGACCAAAGACCTCGACATCCGAACAAAGCTTTTGTCCAAGCTTGAAACCGAGCATGACAAAATAACACTCGAGAAATTAAGTGATGAGTATGGACGACTCATTAACTTGAAAAAGGATGCTTCGATGATTTCTAAACCTTTGGGATCTGACTTGTCAATCCTAGTAAACCAAGTGTCGAAGAAAAAACGGCATTTTTCAAAGAAAAATAAGCCAAAACCACAAGCAAGCTCTGACAACTGCAATAACTGTGGAAGAATTCATCAAGACAATCAATGTCCAGCCGCTAAATCTAAATGCAGCTTTTGCTCCATCAACGGACATTGGGTCCAGTTTTGCAGGAAGAAACTGAACGATGAAAGCAAAACCAACGGTGAATCATCCAAAGACAACTCCAAATTTACTCCTACTGGAAGAAGTTACTCCAAATCGAAAGTATCCAGTATCCGGATCAACGTAATTAAAACTCATTCGAAGCGCAAATACGTTAAAATTGTTGTCAACGGCAGAACGCTTATTCTACAAGTCGACTCCGGTGCCGATGTATCAGTGATTTCAGAAGAAGTCTGCAAGAAAATGAATTTCAAAATTCGTCCTACAACATTGGAACCCGACAACGCTTCTGGCCAACCACTCGATATGATCGGAGAAGTCGATTGCACTATCGAATTTTTGGACAAAACGAAACGCTCTACAATTTTTGTCTCACGCAACGAAGACCTCAACGTATTTGGAAACGATCTTCTCGAGCTGTTCGACCTGTGGGACAAGCCTTTCAGCGATTTCTGCTTGAATGAAAGAGTTTTTCACATCAAAAAACATGATGACTATACTCAAATTTTGCAATCAAAGTACTCATCTTGTTTTGAAAAATCTCTCGGCAGATGCAAGAATTTCAAGGCACACTTAACCTTGAAAGGAAACAACTACCCACCATTCATCAAGTATCGCCCTCCACCATTCGCTTTCCAATCGCTGATTGAAGAAGAACTAAAACGTCTTCAAAATTTAGGCGTAATTACACCAATCACAACATCCAATTGTGCAGCACCCATCGTGTCAAAATTGAAACAAACTGGTGAAATACGCATCTGTGGAGATTTTTCAACTGGTCTCAACGAAGCACTCGAAGACCATCATTATCCGCTACCTTTACCGGAAGACATCTTCGCGAAACTCAACGGCTCATCGCTTTTCAGTCACATCGACTTATCTGACGCTTTCCTTCAGATCGAAATGGACGAAGAATCAAGCAAACTTCTCGTCATCAACACTCATGTCGGACTTTTTAAATACAATCGTCTTAGCTTCGGAATAAAACCTGCACCAACTTTATTCCAAGAAGTCATGGATAAGCTCATCGCTCCACTGAAAAATGTCATCTGCTTCATGGACGATATTTTTGTATATGCAAAAACACAAAAAGAGCATGACGACGCATTGTTTGCTTTGATGAATCGAATTCAAGAATTTGATTTTCGCTTAAAACTCGAAAAATGCAAATTTGCATTCACCGAAATCAAATATTTGGGCTCAATTGTCAACAAAAGCGGAGTAAAACCTGATTCAAGCCGAATTGAAGCCATCAAAGAAATGACTGAGCCAACCAATTTGACTGAACTCCGATCATTTTTGGGTACTGTTAACTATTACAGTAAATTCATCAAAAACGTTCACAACTTACGAGCACCGTTAGAAGAATTACTTCGAAAAGACATCGAATGGTTTTGGTCCAAAACCCAACAGCATTCCTTCAATCAACTGAAGAAATCACTATCTTCTAACATGTTGTTAACGCATTACAACCCACAATTGGAAATCATCGTTTCAGCTGATGCATCCAACAAAGGAATTGGAGCTTCAATCCAACATGTGATGAGCGATTTTACAATCAGGCCGATTGCATTTGCAGCTCGCACCCTTCAACCAGCCGAACAAAAGTACAGTCAAATCGAAAAAGAAGGTCTAGCATTGATTTTCGCAGTGAAGAAATTTCACAAATACATTTTTGGACGTCGTTTTACTTTGGAAACCGATCACAAGCCGCTGCTTGCAATTTTCGGCAACAAAAAGGGAATCCCAATTCACACAGCCAATAGACTCATCCGTTGGGCCGTCATTTTGTTGGGATACAATTTCCAAATCAAATACATCAACACCGAGTCTTTTGCTTATGTCGACGTGTTATCTCGGTTGATCGTTCAAAATACCAATCTCTCAGATGAAGAATATGTCATTGCTTCATTGAAACTTGAGAAAAAAATTCTTCAAGTCATCACGACAAATCTTCAAGCGTCACCAATAACGTACGAGCAATTGGTAAAAGCTTACTCCAATGACCCGTCAATGCAACAACTTATTGAGCAAATTTCTTCACACTGGAAAAATTTTACCGATTCCTGGGATGCTGAATTTCGTCTATTCTACAATCGTCGTGAATTTTTGTCAGTCTCGAATCAAATTGTACTTTTCGGAGACCGTGTCGTCATACCAAACGCTCTCCGTGAACGAATGATTAAACAACTTCATAAGAGTCATTCAGGCATCGTGAGAATGAAAAATCTCGCTCGATCGTATGTTTACTGGCCAAACATTGACAATCAAATCGAACAATTCGTCAAATGCTGTTCCAGTTGTGCATCAGCAGCTAAATCGCCCACGAAAACAACACTAAGTTCTTGGCCGTTACCATCGAAACCATGGGAAAGGATCCACATCGACTATGCAGGCCCAATTAAAAGTAATTTTTACCTGCTGATAATCGATGCCTATTCGAAATGGCCTGAAATCGTTAAAACATCAAGAGCATCAGCGGCAGCAACACTGAAAATTTTATCATCAACGTTCGCTCGCTTCGGTTTGCCTGAAATTGTAACATCCGACAACGGAACACATTTCACCGCTGAGTCAGTCCAAGCTTTCTTCAACTCAGCAGGAATCCAGCATTTTAAGACAAGCCCCTATTCACCGATGTCTAATGCACAAGTTGAACGTTCCGTTGACACATTGAAACGTTCATTGAAAAAACTATCAAACGAAGGCAACATCGACGAAAGTCTCGATAATTTCTTGAACAATTATCGAACAACTCCAAACGAAAATTGTCCATCAAAATTATCGCCTTCTGAGATAATTTTCAGTCGAAAAATTAGAACCGTTTTCGATCTACTGAGACCACAGCCCAGAAAATCTCTTGACCGTAATACCAAAATGGAACATGATTACAACTTGAAACATGGTGCAATTCAACGTAACTACAATATCAACGATGCTGTTTGGGTCAAAATACACAAAAACAATTCTTGGTCGTGGAAAGAGGGGAAAATAGCAGAGAAAATCGGAATGGTCAACTATCGTGTTGAAACTGAAAACAGAACAATTCGAGCTCACACCAACCAATTGAGAAAACGATATTAAAAATTTAAAAGGGGGGGTGTTGAATATCAAGTAGTCTTATGTTCTAATCAACATATCCTTGTTTATTCATTTAGTTTAGTTGTCACCGTACTTTACTACAGACGTCTTTTCTA